GTTTGCGGCCGTTCTGCCCTAGGGGGATTAGATCCAGTGTTGCCCAATGTGTGGACTGTTCTGAAGCTGGAAATTTCTCACCACCCAGAGACCACGCGAAGCGGCCACAGGGAAGTTGTGGCCTCTGCCTCCGGGGTTACCCCTGCACCTGCACGCTCGGGGAACCTGGGGCAGGAGCACGCCCGGGCCTGGCCGGGGCTGGCGGTGAATGAAGGAGAGCGGTAGGGGCAGAAGTGCGGGCAATCCCACCATTTGATGCTTCAATCCGACTTTAACCTTCCCCGCCCCCCCAGGGCAGTAACTCCCCAAACGGGTCTCTCGTCCAGATGTCCCGCCTGTGCTGCTCACATCGGACCGCACTGGCCGCCTCCCCTCGCCCACCCTGCAGATCCCCAAACGCAGCATGTCCTCAAAGACAGCTGCACCGTCCCGCACCTGCCGCCAAGTGCTCTCTTGCTTGTGTCCTCAGTGAAGACGGTCCTACCCATCCAGCCACCGAAGCCAGGAAGCTGGTGTAACCTCGCTTCTTCACAACCCGTCTGGGGCCATCTACCACGTCTTGTTCATTCTGCACTCTTGGCGTTGATTGAACTCGTCCATTCCCCCTGCCAATAACTGGTTTGGGGCCGTCTCTTTCCTGAGGTGCTAGGATGGTCATCCTGCCCCTCAGCTGGTTTTAGGTTGCTTCAATTTGTTGTCTTCAAATTACCTGAAGCTAGAGCAGTCGCCCTAAAATGCACTCTCTGATAGTGCCAATATCGTGACAGCAGTAAGGCCAGTAAAAGGTCAACCAGGACAATATCATGGGGCCTTGACGGTCTCTGTTGGCTCTTGCCCATCTTCTTGCTCCGGTCTACCCTCATCCACACCGGACTCTGTGCACAGCCGCATCGAACTACCTTCGCTTTCAAATATGTTATTCTGTCCTTGCCTAGGTGCTCAGCAAATGCAGTTCTCTCTGCCTCAAACTCCTCTCCCAAACCAGGCCCCGCGTCCTAGCTGTGCCGACTGGTCCTTAAAAATCACCTCGTCATCACCATCACACAATTATAACTAACACGTATTCAATGACTAGTGTGTGCTAGGCACGGTTCTAAGGACCGTTAACATATTTCATTTAATCTTCACAACAACCGGAAGAGGTAAGTGCTGTCATCAAGTTTTAGAGATGAGGACACCTATGTCATATCATCTTGTCACTCTCCCCCAAAGCCGCGCGTGAATTTCTGGAAGGGTGTGGGTGATGCTTTGCCTACTTGATGTTCTCCCGTTCAGAGCATTCAACAGTTACACCACCTCTTCCAGTAGACGCTGTGCTCTCAGACCAAGAAAGTGAAAAGGACTTCGCCTCATATAGAGTTGTGTTCCCAGCACTCGAGACAGTGCTGGTCAAATAATAGTTACTGAACAATTAGAAACAACTGAATGAGCTTTACTTGTTTAGCATTTGAGTGTTCTCCACTGAACACACATTTTGTTTATTAACATTTTTAATTCCTGTCATTTCTGCCATGTGGTAAGGGGCAAGAGTAGGTGTAAATGGATTGATACATGTCGATAAAAGCTATAATGATGGCAACTACCAACTTTTACTCTTCCCTCTCTTTTGACTTCAAAGTGCTTGATTATACCTGCTGCTTTCCTTCCTCAGTCATCCCCAGTTCACATCCTTCCCTCCTGGGTCACCCCCAGTCCACACCCTTCCATCCTGGGTCACCCCCAGTCCACACCCTTCCCTCCAGGGTCACACCCAGTTCACACCCCTTTCTCCTCAGTCACACCCAAGTTCATACCCTTTTCTCCTCAGTCACCCCCAGTCCACACCCTTCCCTCCTGGGCCACACCCAGTCCACACCCTTCCCTCCAGGGTCACACCCAGTCCACACCCTTCCCTCCAGGGTCACACCCAGTTCACAACCTTTTCTCCTCAGTCACACCCAGCTCACACCCTTCCCTCCTGGGTCACCCCCAGTTCACACCCTTCCCTCCTGGGTCACCCCCAGTGTACACCCTTCCCTCCTGGGTCACCCCCAGTGCACACCCTTCCCTCCTGGGTCACCCCCAGTTCACACCCATCCCTCCTGGGTCACCCCCAGTCCACACCCTTCCTTCCAGGGTCACCCCCAGTTCACACCCTTCCTTCCTGGGTCACCCCCAGTTCACACCCTTCCCTCCTGGGTCACCCCCAGTCCACACCCTTCCTTCCTGGGTCACACCCATTCCACACCCTTCCCTCCTCAGTCACACCCAGTTCACATCCTTCCCTCCTGGGCCACACCCAAGTGCAAACCCTTCCTCCCTTCTGGCTCCACATTGCTCCATGTGTCTATCCAAGAATCTGTACGCCCATCCATCCAACCAGCAAGAGGGCTGACACTGAGTATATAGAAATGAATGAGGCTAAGTCCCTCTCCTCAAGAAAATGTCTAGTAATTTTCCTTGGCCACGAAGGGTATCAGTGTGTTTCTGCCATACTCCCTGTTCACGCAGGGTCAGGGACTGCTATACCACCAGGGTGCAACCTGCAAGTTGGCACATTTTCTAGGCAAACTCCTTACACTGTTTTAATTGTGAAAATAACACTGCAACCATCTCATGACTAGTCAACTTGATTTCATAACAGAAAATCTTGCTCTTTTGCTTTGAGTGAGGCCCAAGTGACCTCCCCTCTTGGGCTGCGAGTTGTATTTACTTGGAAGTGTTACTGGTGGGAGTGGGGGGGGCGGGTCCTCGTCTGCACCTGTTGCTTATGGGAGTGGAATTCTTGCCATATCCTGAGACTTGCATGGGAGGATGAGACATGGTAGGAAGCTTTATTTCCGTGGAATTATACCCGAGTTTATGAGGCTCATTGCCCTTGGTCCCACAAGGAAGACGTCCCGTTTGCCTGTAGCAGGGCTAGAACCCGAGCCAGAGCCCAGAACTTCCGTTCCATACTTGTACACTGCAGGCCAGCCTCAGGCTGGCTTGGCTGTGTTTCCTGCTGCAGCCCACCAGTCCCGTGTGTGGGGTCTGCGTGGCCACGGGCCATCCAGGTGAGAGCAAGGAAGCAGGTACGAGAAAGGCTCGGGTGCCGAAAGCCCAGAGAGCAACCTTCTTGGTTGGGATTGTGTGTTCCCAAACTTCCACGGACTTGCATCGGCTCCGCCCACTCTGGCCAGTCCATGGTTCCCTGGGCTTCATCTGACAGGCAAGCACCTTCCCTGGTCACCCCAATTCACGGCACATGCATCTGTCTTCCCTTGGTTGGACCCTTCCCCCAGGGATTCTGCAGGGAATGGGCTGGGGTCCCCAGGACGGGTAAAATTGCAGCTTCCTGGTGGAGCTGCCCAAATGACATCCTCATAATGCCTGGCCCCCCTTTTACTCCTTTCTTCTTCTTAATAACTAGCCAATTACAATGATATCAGAAGAACATAATTTATTAAAAATAACACTTTAGTAACAGAAATGAATTTGGACGTTGCATGAAGTTTGAGATCATAGGAAGCAGCTTTGAAAAACCCAGAGCGTTAAGCATCTTTCTGGAACCCGCCTTCTCATGTGAGAGGACGCAGGGGACCGAGACCAGCCAGCAGACGGGGTCTGGGGGCTGCACTCTGTAGGTCTTCTGCTGAGTCACCAGCCACAGGTGTGTCTCCCAGTCCACATGTGGCTCCAGGGAAACCTTGATGCAAAGCCAGGGTCCCCGTAGCAATGAGGACGAGCTGGGGACATCGAAAGACATCTTGGCGCCCAAACACCTGAGCATGTGCTCGTACAACGTGGAAGCAGTTCCTCCGAGGGGCACGAGGGGGAGCCAGCACACGTGCGGAACCACACGCATCGGATCTCAGCTGGAAACCGAGTCTCTTCGTAAAGCTTGTCGGACACGGACAGATTCTGTCTTCGAGGCTCAAAGCAACGTCCTACCGTTTAACCTGGAGACTGGGTTCCTACAGTACAATTCAAATTTCTCCTAGAATCTGGTGAAATGAAATTCCCTACGTAGCACTGCTGACAGAGAGAACACATGTTTATTAAACAAGACACAACTGGGTGATCCTTTTCAGGGTCAAAACTGAGTATTTCCTACTAAAATGTATTATGCATGAGGACATTTCAAAGAAATAGAAAACAAAAATCCTTCTCCCCTTAGTCGCAATAGCACGTTCTAACACCTATAGAGAGGAGGTGATGGAAACAAAACCAACAAAGGCTTGTAAGTGCCCGGCCTGCGTGGGCGCAGTGGTTGAGCGTGGACCCTGCACCAAGAGGTCACTGGTTCAATTCCCGGTCAGGACACATGCCCAGGTTGTGGGCCTGATCCCCAGTGGGGGGCGTGCAGGAGGTGGCCAGTCAATGTTCTCTTTCATCTATGTTTCTCTCTCTAAAATCAATAAAGAAAAACATAAAATAAAAATGACTTGTTAGCCTGCTGGTCTAACAAAAGAGTGTAAGGCAAAGTTTACCTATTACCTATTATTTCATCCAAGGGATCATGGAATGCAAACTCACATGTCCGTTTACTTATTAGTAGTCAAGGGGAAGGCAAATACCTCCTTCAAACCAAGATATCTCATATGAATGACGATATCGAAGGAAGCTCTCCAAAATGCCAAATCTAGAAAAAAGCAAACCTAGAAACAAGTGACAGTAATGCACTGAAACTGATCAAGTTCAAGACCTGTGTCCTCAGTGACACCAGTACCCATGCCCTCCCCATCACTTTATCGTCCATGCCCTCCCCATCACTTTATCGTCTACCTGGATCTTACTCATCCTGCACTTTTTTTAAATAAACTGTGGAATATGTTTTGAGGAAAACAAAGAGTGTCGTCATGTGGGCCGCTTGCTCGGGTGGCCCTGGGCGTGGGAGGGCAGGTGCGCGCAGGTGCGGGAAGGCGTGGCCGGCCACGCCTCCTTTTCCACCTGTCGCGAGCAGGCGGTGCGGACTTTGTGATAACAGGTCCCCGGGTAGCGTCAGCCTCTGTTCCGTTCTTCCTGCGCCGTCAGACGGCCCCATAGGTGGTCTCGTATGAATTTCAAACACGTGCTATCGACAGGCCCCAAACCCTTGCTGCAAGGGGAAAAAGACCCACATTAATTGAATCCTGGCCTGTTCTCACTCGTAATGTCATAAATATGCTTTCTGGGTCCTAGAGAAATATGAGATGATTTGTAACACCATGTGAAATATTCTGGTGAGTAAACCTACAGGTTTGAAAACAGGTATAATTTATTGTTATCAAAAGCACATTTTTTTTTTCTTTTTTGGAGCGGGAAGGAGGGGGTCAATGGAGAAAAAGAGGGACATCTGTGATACTTTCAATAATTAAAAAAAAAGTAAAAATGTTCTCACAACTAAAACTACACACAGTAAGCACAGGTCAACAATGAAACAATAATGTTGAACCCTCTCCCATTCACTCTGGTTTTCCTGTTGGTAAACGGACGCTCATTAGCAAGAATACGATATTTGGAGATAGTTCCTATGCTAAAATTTCATGGTAATTGACTGTTTTTCTCCTGGACGTTTTCTGGCAAGGTCTCCATTATTCCATTTCACAGACGTCCTCGGGAAGTAGTGACAGTGCCTCTGACTTGCAGAGTCACTAGGTCACCCTCCCCACTAAGGACATCAAGCAGCCGGCGAAGTCTTTAATTACTGAGCGCTCCAAACAGCTTGGCCGCTATAGTGACGCAGAAGGGCTAGCAACTATTCTAAGGTTTTCAGAGGGACACCGGCAGGCCAGTCCGGGCGGGCCTTCCTGCAGAACAGGGCAGCTCCCTCGAACCTGAAGACACCGCTGTCCGCATGCTGGCTGCGGGCCGCTCCTCGGTCCTCACTCCCGACACGCCCCCTCCAGGCCCTTCTTCCTCCGCCTGTCTCAGCTCGGGCAGCGCCCGTCCAGATTCTATGGCACCAGGAACGCCTCCACCCGCCCCGAGGTGGACTACAGCTGCCTGCGCCCCAGGACACCCCAGTTCCCGGAGGAAGAGGCTGTATATAGACACCGCCTTCTGAGTGGGCCTGCAGTGCCGGGACACGGTGGGCACTGACAGGTACCTGTGCTGTGAGGACATCTGGGGTCAGAAACCAGCCGGGCTGGTGCCGGAAGAACAGGTGTTCAGTGTGACTGACCCCTGCGGCCTGAGACAGGCAGCGGCCCTGCTGAGTGGGAGGCTGTGGGTGGGGTGGCCTGGAGGCCGCGGGGGTGCACGGCCTGTGGCGGCTCGGACCTGCGGTGCTGGGAAGAGGCTCTGAGACCTTGGGCACAGCGGAGGGGGAGGGGAACGCACCGAAGGCTCTGCTTGGCGGTAGCTGTGTCACAGGACGGGCTGACCTGCGTCACAGGACGGGATGACCGCAGAGAAGTACCGCACCGCGTGGAAGGAGCTCAGAGCCAGGGCGCCGGGGGCTCGCGCTCTGCTCACGTCGCCGGGGCTCTCGGCAGGGGCGCCAGGCCGGCCTGAACGGGGAGGGAGACAGTCAGGTCCGGGCACACAGCCCTGCCACCCGGCTGCTGTACCTGAAACCGGGTCCTCCCGGTCAGCACCTCGGCTTCCGACACAGACTGCTGCTGCCCTTAAACAGTGGACATCTCAGTGGCAGCGGGTACGGCAGTACACACACTGCATTCGTGTTCACGAGCCGCTGAGAGACGGGGACTTCACAGAAGCATCAGATCTCAGGGCCCTTGGGAGTGTTTCCATCACAAGCCAAACTACACCCCATGAAGCAAGAAAGGAGCTCCCTTTAGCCACGAATAACATTTCTTACCAGTAAAGTGGGCTATATCATTTTATATACATGTATACACACACACACCCTGCACAGTAGCTAGAAGGCAGAAAAATACTAAGAAGTATGTAATGACCGTTAACAATGTCATCTCAAGCCACATTGTGAATATCTAGCTATTTTCTTCTGGACATTAATAATCATGAAAGTAAAGTAATTTCATTTCTACTTCAAATACAAACGCATCTGGAGTGTGTGTGCATGTTTGCCTCTCAGCAATGTGCTCACTGACTGGTGGAAAAGGACAAAAGCGACCCGGAGGAGACGGAGCACCGAGGCAGAGTCGTGCCCGGGCCCAGGGCAGGCTCCGCACAGGACCCCGGGGCGTCCGGTGGCTGCCGAGCTCCTCCAGCCTGCAGGGTCCTGCTGCAGGTGCCGGGAGGGAACTCTGAAGGACCTGCCTGACCCCAGCTGTTCCAACCTCTTTCCGAACAATCTGGCTCGTGCATTCTGTGCGACGCATGTGCTCACGCTGTCAAGCTCATTCGTTACCGACCCCGGTATACAGCCCGCGGAGAAGACCGGGCTATGGAAGAGTCTTATGTGGGGACATGCTATCCCCGATCGTAGAACATAGATTATAGCCTAGTATATTGTTATGTTTATGTATGTATGCACTCCCCATAAAATGGAAACGGCAAATACAGCAACTGGAGGGTGGCCGAGAACACTGTTCTACAAAGCACTGGACAAACGGCTCGAACACGTGAGATGACGAAGAAGACTGCGCAGTAAAGAATCAGCCACATCTGAGGCAGTGCTTAGTGGCAGCAGCAGGAGATTCAGTTGGACGTCCAGCACGATCCGTTACTACGCAGGAAAATGCACATCAAAAAGACTTCAAAAAAGACATTTAAAAATAGTTATTCTCTTTGTGGGGTTAATAAAGGACTAACATTGCTTTTCAATTGGCAACTGTATATGCACAAGGTAAAAATGGGGGCTCTGACTCAGCGACCTTCAGCTGCCCCCCAGGCTGAGCGTGTCACAGCTGAAGGCCCCCATGGGGCTGGGCTGTCCCGCGGCTGGTTGAGATGAGCGATACCAAGAGATGCTGCAGTAAGCAAGCCCACACCGCTGCCCCGGAGAGAGTCCGAGTCCTGCAGAGGGACAGTGAGGCTGCAGAGTAAGCCATGTGTGCACAGGGGGAGACAGGCACCTCCTGTGACCTGACCTCACGGGATGTGACTGGGTGGACCTCATCCTTCCGTGTGACCGGCAGCTTTTTCCAGGAGACGGGCCCTGCCCGATGGCTGCTTTTTTCCCTCTTCCCCTCCTCTCTCCTGAGTCAGGAGAAAAGTCTACACTGACGACTAGAACACCCAAGGCTGCCTTGACTCTATGAGCAAGGAGGTCTACATTCTGTTCGGGCCCCGTTCTCTTTTGACTGGAGATGTCATTCTTGGTAACCTGAGGGTGCCACAGCGTCCACCGTGTCCCCACATGCACAGTGCTTCTGTGACAGCACCTCAGGGACCAGGGGAAGCCCTCTGCTGTTGGGGCGCTCTCTGCCACTACCTGCGAACTGCACCCTGCTTGTCCTTGTGCACCCCTGTGAAGCAGGGACATCTGAATTAGAACGAAGGGATGGACTGGGGTTAACCAGGTGGGGTGTGGGACAGGCCACACCCAGCACCCTGAAGGTGCTGAAGCAAGAGGGTGGAGTCCCCTCCAGGAGGCCAGCAGAAGGGTGACCTCAGGCTAGGGCGCCAGGAGACGGGGAGGGTTCTGTCGCCGGGCCGAGACTCAGGACTGGTGTCTCCGTGAGGAGGAACTGCAGAGCATCGAGTCACAGTCTGGTGCTGTGTCCTCTCCCTCGGGCTCTGCTTTCCCACCTTCTCCCTCCTGCACGGCCAGGGCGAGGCCACACCGACAACCTGCAGGGGGCACGTGTTGTTTCAGAGGACTATGCCTGCCATGCATGTGTCCTAGCACCCGCTGTGAGTAGCCGTTGCTCTGGGAATGGGAGAACAGCAATGAGCAACGCAGGGAAGACACCCCCTGCCCGCACGGAGTTCCCTCCCAGTGGGGAGGGCAGGCAGCAGACAAGACAGCCAGGACAGAGCATCAGAGGGTGGTCAGGGCGGTGAAGGGAAAGAGGGCCAGTGGATGAGGAGCCCCCACACCCGATGCTGGGCTGTCCAGTTTGAGCCCGACTCCCTGAGAAGGAGAAAAAGACGCGGAAAGTAAAAAAACCAAACGTGTTAAATGCTGGGTACCTGGAACTGAACAAACAGGGTGACTTCCCTCCCTTCAGATGCTACTCACATAAACAGTCTCTGGTGCTTAGCAAACATCAGCAGGATGAGCTCTCTGGTCGTGATAGTCAACTTCAGGCCCCGTTTTGGGATAATGCGTTTTAGGCGCCTGTGGCCAGTCTGGGAGCTTCTGGCAGAGGACATCAGGACCCATGGCGCCATCCCCCAGCCTGGGCCCCCCCTGGTTCCAGGGAGTCGGGCCCCGGGGTGCAGGGACAGGCACGCAGGCCACCGCTCTCCCCACCACCCTGCCGGGGGGCTGACCTCTCACAGCGCCGTCCAAGGGGCCCCCCGAGGCAGGAACCGAGTACACGTTCAAGCACTGATTGGCCAGGAAGCGGAGTCCCTGCACCGGCGAACTTGCCAGGACACCGTTTTCCCTTAAAAGGAAAGAAAAAATGACACATTTCTCAAGGAAGACCCCGTGAACACTGCTGAGTTCAACTGCTCTGTCCTCGAGGTGCGAACAGCACAGACGGCGGAAACCAGGGGCCAGTTAAACGTTGGGCCGTCTCGCGGAGCGGGGCTCAGGCTGGTTCTCCAGGACGTGGGGCGAGGACCTGCTTTTCCTGCTCGAGTCAGTGCACAGAAGCGTCCCCGTGGCGGGTCACGCTGGCTCGCACTTCCTGCAGGACGCCCCCTGACCGGCCGGACCGCTGGGAGGCCCACGCCCCGGCGACAAGGGCTGCTGGGCTGCGCCACGTCCCACCGACCCCACTCTGAGGTCCTCAGAGAGAACGAAAGGAGATCGAGGCAAATGGTGACAGATCCACGGGCCTGAGACCCCGGGGATTGCACCCCTGCCGTGGGGAGGACACCAGCAATGGGAAAGGGCGCTATTCGGAACCAATGCCTGTCCCCTGGGGACGGTGCGGTCCGGTGGCCCCGCGTGGCCCTGCAGGACCGGTCCAGGCGCGACCTTACCTCTGCGCCCTGGCCGTGCCCGGGAGGCCCAGCGGCGGGGGTGCCTGCTGCTTCTTGCAGAACCTCTGGTCGCTCTGGAGCACGTCTGTGATCTAAGGAAGGGGGCGCAGACCTGTTTGGAGACAGACTCCCACGGACACAGACAGGCGTCTCCAGCGTACGGAGAAGGGAGGAGACCCCAGCACTGCGCAGGGGACGCGAGTCAGGGCGCGCGTGGATACCTGGCCCAGAGCCGCGCGAGGCAGCTTCTCGCGGACGTATTTCACGTAGTCCACCGTGGCCTCCAGGATGGAAGCGGCGTCGGTCTTCCTGCCCTGGCTGGACGGCAGCAGGGCCCGCAGCTGCTGGCAGCACCGCCGGATGCGCTCCCTGAGCGGGGGCGACAGGGAGCATCAGTCTGCTTTGCCTCCGCCCGCCCACAGTTCCGGGGGGGGGGCTTGGGGGCAGTCCCGCCCCTCCCCGGCCAGGCTCAACCCCTGGAATCAGCCGCGGGCGCCCCCTGATGCGGCTGGAAGTGCTCACGGGGCGGGGCCTGGCCCCGGCCCCCGCAGTGTGCAGGCCACGGGGTACAGCCGTCACCCCTCAGCGGCAGTTTCACTTTCTGAGGTTCAGTTACCTGCACTCAACCCCGGTCCACAAACATGCGGAAAATTCCAGATCTAAACAATTCATCCGTTTTAAACTGTGCCCTGTCTGCGTAGGATGATAAAATACCACGCCATCCCATGCCAGCCACGTCAGAATATTGTAAACCCTCCCTTGTCCCCTGTGCTCATGTGGCACATGCCACCTGCCCATCAGTCACTGAGGAGGTTGTCTGATCCCTGATTGGCAATGACGGAGGGAGGGAGGGGAGAGAGAGTCCACATTCCTGTAACTTTCATTACAGTATATTGTTATAATTGTATTTTATCATTAGCTGTTATTAATCTCTTACTGTGCCTAATTTGTAAAGTAAACTTTATCACAGGTATGTATGTACAGAACAAAAGCCCAGCAGTTACAGGGTTCGGTAGGATCTGTGGTTTCAGGCACCCACAGAGGGGTCTTGGAATGTGTCCCCCAAGGGTGGGGGACCACTGGGCACATCACCCTGCCTGTGGAAACCACAGGCAACTCCTCCTCAGAAGAGAGAATCGCACGTTGTATAAAACAAGTCCTTTTACAATTCACAAGAGAAGCCGAGAAGACAAAGGTAATCAGAATATTCATGTCACTGGGACCTGGGCCACATGTCCAACAATAGATCAGTTAGCATCTCCTTAGCAAGGGCTTTCGGGGTAACTCTGTGCTCTGAGCCCAAGGACAATCGGAAGTGGCAGGTAAGGACAGAAGAGACCGGAAAAACAAGCTCCGGAAAAACAAGCTCGTCCAAGTGTTTCATAGCTCTGAACGAAAATACATGGGAACTATAAACCCAATTGATCTAAGCCTTTGATACCTCCGTTTTTCTTAGCTAACATTATTAAGTACCTGTTATGTGCTGAATACTGCCTTGATAAAGGGAGTGTCAGGTGGTAGCCAGGACCATCAACCAGGCACTTAATCTCTCGGAGTCTCAGAATGCCAATAGCATTATGAATATTATTGGCCAGTAGCCAATGAAAAGTCACGTATTCTAGATCAGTGGTCCTTCCACTGGGCTTTGAGGAGTCCTGAGGGTTTGTGGAGGTGTCGCAGGGATGATGCTGGAAAGGGGTGGCAACATCTACAGTGTAACCACGTGTCTGAAGGGCTTTGAAACCTTTCTCTTCAACATGGAATTCCATTGATAAGGATCTAAATCACAGAACAAACTGTTTGCTGTCCGTTATAGTAGGTCAGCAACACGCGAAAAACAATGTAAACATGAAAATAAGGGGATGCCTAAGTAAGCACGCGTATTAGCTCATAGAATAGTGTCTGGCGGTGAAAATGGCATGTTACAGAGCCTACTGGGGAAACAGGATATTCTTATACCATACAAGATACAAGACGGCTGTTAAAATATGACCACGGCCATTCATCAAAGCAAAAATAAAGCACAGAAAAAAGAATAAATGCGAAATAATCAAGTAATCCTTATTTTGAGATGATTGGGCTATGGAAAATATTATTTCTTCCTTTTATTTTTCTGTATTTTTCAAATATTTTCGCTGGGCATATGTCGCTTTTAGAATAAAAAATCATAGTCAATGTTTTTCTAACATTTAATAGGAAAGTGCTCAAGCCTATCGAAAGGTTGAAAGAATTAAGAATTCCTAATACTTAAAGCGGAAAGCAGTTGGAATGTGTAGGAACACGCACACGCTGGTACCACCCAGGGTCTGCACTGGACGGTCACTGTTCCTGTCACACAGAAGGCATCCCTCTGGCCACACCTCAGTCCACTTGAGTCCACTGAAGCATTTCGAAGTATCTGTAGATTCAGTTCCTAAACCCTTAAACGTGTCATTAGAGTTCAAATTATTCTATTTTTAGGTAAAAGACATAAAATTAGAAACACAGACCCGAAGGGTGCCATTCCGTAAGTTTGGACAAATGGACAAAACTAGGTATCACACACCCTGATGAACATTATCCTAGCCGCAGAAATGTCCCTGTGCCCCTTCCTGATCCTTTTCCATCCTGTTTCACCTGCCGGGGACTTCATATAACTCAGCTCCGACGGCAGTGCCTTTTACGTACGATTTCTGGCGCTCGGCGTGCTTTTGAAACGTAACCATGTGCTCACATCAGTAGTGGGGTCTTTTTTATTGCGTGACCGTATTCCACGCTCTAAGTGTGTCACAGCTCATTGCTCCATTCTCTGAACCCTTCAGCTACTTCCAGTTTCGGATGCTTAGGAATAAATCTGCTAGGTCATTCTATCTATCATTTTGTGAGTGCATGTTTTTATTTCTCTTGGGTAACTCTCTAGGAATAGAGCTAATGGGTTATTTACAAATTCATAAGAAACGGGCAGAACTTTTCCCCAAACAGCGACATTTACACTCCCGCCGTCAATGCACGAGAGCTCCTGTTGTTCCGAGTCTTGGGCAGTGTTCGATGTTCCGAGTCTTGGACAGTGTTTGATGTTCCGAGTCTTGGACAGCGTTTGATGTTCCGAGTAGTTCAATCGGAGCAGTTTGGCCTTGATGAGGGATATGTGGTACCACCTTATGCTTTCATTCGCGTTTCCATGAGAACATTTCCAGCGTTTCTCCTTGCTTATTGGGCTTATTGTACATCCTCCTTTGTCAAGCGTCTGTCCACATATCTCACCGACATTTTAACTGGATTGCAGGTCTTTCCACAATTGATCTGGGGGTTCCTTATATGTCCTCAATACCAGTGGGCTGTTGGCATGCTTGTTTTGTAAATATGTTCCCCAGTCTGAGGCTTCTCTATTTACTTTTTTTTTTTTTTTATTTATTTTTATCCTCACCCAAGTGCTGTCTTTAGATAACAAAAAATTTTAAATTTTGATGAGTCTAATTCATTTACTCCTTTTTTTATGGTTATTGCTTTCTGTGTCCAAAGCACACCGGCCTACCCCAGCTTGTAAACACATTCTCGTACCCTTTCTTCTGCCCAGGACAGCAGCTGCATCAGTATTTAAATACAAATATCATTAATCCAAATTAAATAAAATTTAAAATTTATTTCCTAAGTTGCAATAGCCGCATTTCAAATATTAACTGCAGGTAGCTAGCTGCTACCTTATTGAACAACACAGCAAAGGTCATTTTAACATTGTAAAAAGTTCTACTGGACAGTGTGATTGTGGAAGATTTATGTTTTTTCTTATACTATAGCTCTGACTATGCTCCATCTTGAATGATTTTCTTTTAAAAAACATTATATTTTCTTTATTGATTTTAGAGAGAGAGGAAGGCAGAGAGAGGGAGAGAGAGAAGCATCGATGAGAGAGAACATCGACTGGCCGGCTCCTGCATGCCCCACACTGGGGATCGGGCCCACAACCTGGGCATGAGTCCTGACCGGGAATTGAACCGGCGACCTCTTGGTGCAGGGTCGACGCTCAACCACTGAGCCACACCGGTCAGACTTGAATTGATTTTTATATCAATTCAAAACCTCATTGTTTTTCCACATGGATATACAGTTGTTCCAGCACCATTTATAGAAAATTTGTTTATTAATTTGTCTGCTGTAGTGATTGTTGGAAATCAAACGACCATAAATGTGTAGGTGCAGAACTGGGTTAGGTGTTCCCTTGATCTGTCAACTTTTATGCTGGTAACATACTGATTATTAGCTAGATACTAAGTCTTGAAATCAGATCATTTAAGTTCTCCAACTCTGTTGCACTTTTTCAAGATTGCTTTATCCTAAGTCCTTTTATCTTCTAAGTACTTGTCATACATTTTAAAAGCAGATTGTCAATTTTTGACAAAAAATAAATAAATAAAAGAAAGAAGCCTACCGGGATTCTGATTCTGACTCAAATAGCTATATTCCAGTGTAGTGAGAACTGACATCTCAACCATAGGAATCTTTCAGTTCATAATTATAGTGTAGTGCAAGATTTAGGGTTCATTCATTTCTCCCCGCAATACTGAGAGTGACCAACGTACAGATTGTGCCTTTTTGCATATCTGTTCCTATATATACTACGTCTTTATACTCTATCATAAATGTCATTTTTCATTTTTCATTTTTTCTTTTGTTTGCTGCTAATACGTAACAATATGGTTTTTTGTACTTAGACTTATATTCCACAATCTTGGTGTATTCATCTTTTAGTGCTAGTAGTTGTTTTGTAGAACTTTACATTGCTCATCATGGCATCTATACACACGTTGTGTACCTTACTTTCCACTTTCTACGTCTTCTATTTCTTTTCCCTAGCTAATTGCAGCAGGTAGAAAAGCATATTCAATGATAAACAGAAGCGGTATGGATGGCCACTCTTACTTTGTTCCTGATCATTTTAAGGAAAATGGTCAAAATTACATCACTAAGTGCAGTGTTAGCTATAGGTTTTTACATTTTTTTATAGATATCCTTTAACAGACTGAAGAGATTCTCTTCCCTATCTAATTTGCCAAAGGTTTTTTTGTTTAATTTTGAAAAGATATTTAATATTGCTAAATAATTTTCCAGAATTTGCTATCCTATGGCTTTTCTACTTACTCAGTTTAATGTGGTGAAATTAAATGGATTCATTTTGTTTTTCCAATCCCCACCCGAGGATATTTTTTCCATTGATTTTCAGACAGAGTGGGAGGGAGGGAGGGAGGAAGAGAAGGAGGGAGGGAGGGAGGGGGAGGGAGGGAAAGAGAGAGAGAGAGAGAGAGAGAGAGAAACATTGATGTGAGAGAGACATACCGATTGGCTGCCTACTGCATGACCCCGACCAGGGCCAGGGATCTAACTGCATCAGA